GGAAAGAGTTTATATCCATTGGAGCCAGAAAACAAGGCAAGTGCAGAAGAACACCAAGCACTTGGGAGGGAGAGGTGGAGGCTTCTATTAATACAGGGAAATAGGGCAGAAAAGGAAGTTTGAGGATGCTGGTGCTCTAGTCATGACTCTGCTCAGTGTTTGGACCTGGTCCAGGTCCTATCAGGACACCTGAGATCAACAGTGATAGGAAAGTCCAAGAACTTACAGAGAACCCACATGGCCAGCCAGAAGCAACATGGCATTAGCATTGAAATCAACACCCAGCTCTGCCTCCTTACTTTACAGATAGCTTAACCTTTCCATGCCTCATTTCACCATCCACAAGATGGAAATAAAAACAAATAACTCCCTCTCATCATAAATATAAAACTCAAAATCAAAGAGTTTATGTAAAGGATGTTGTAATGAGACCTGCCACTCATGGTGTGTCGGGACACATTTTACATGCTGTACAGCTCATCCACTCCCCACCATGACCTCAGAAGTCAGGCCCTGCTATTATCCCCAGTTTACAGATGAGGAAGCTGTAGCTCAGAAATATTTTTTTATTAATTTTTATTTATTTATGATAGTCACAGAGAGAGAGAGAGAGGCAGAGACACAGGCAGAGGTTAGAAGCAGGCTCCATGCACCGGGAGCCCGACGTGGGATTCGATCCTGGGTCTCCAGGATCATGCCCTGGGCCAAAGGCAGGCGCCAAACCGCTGCGCCACCCAGGGATCCCCTCAGAAATATTTAATAACTTGCCCAAGTTTGCACAGCTAGCAGGACATGGATCTGGAATTTGAATTCCCTCTTTTGTTCGAGAGCCTATGCTTGTTATTACTCGGCACGTTCAACAAATTCCAGGGGAGATTACTATTAAGGCTCTCAGGGCTCCCCAAGGTCAGACACGCCTTCCTCTTCCCTTCCTGTCTATGTGTGCCTGGCCAAATGGCAAAAGAGAGACCCATGTCCCATGCTTGCCTCTGCTACTTCTTCACCCCTTGACCTTGAACAAGCAAGCAACCTTGACCTTTCTGGAACTCAGTGATTACTCTTTCCATAAAATGGGTCTGATAATTCAGGCCACCCTAGCAGATCACCACAGGGAATAAGACCAACATGACCACACATGGCAAGTTACCCAGCAATGCCTAAGTCGAAAGGGCTATGGGACAAAGCACTTCCAGCTGAATGAACATGACACCAAAAGCTCAGTGCTCAATGAGGGGCTAGCTCCAGTGGAGTGGACCACCCTTGCCCAGAGGCCAGCTTGTTTATGCAGTGATAGACTCACGTTGAAACTCAAGAGGCTGCATCTGCCTTTAGAGCAAGCCCAGATGCCACTTTCCTCTTCTCTTCACTGGCTTCAGGTTGGTTTTTTTCTTTAAAAAAAAAAAAAAAAGTTTGGCAAGGGATGTTTCCCAAAAATTTTAAGTGGTTTGATTTTTTTCTTTCTTTTTCTTGAGTTTTTTTTTCTTTGATTGCATGCAACTTCAAACAATGGCGTCATTTACAGGCTCCAGGCGGCCTCCCGCCATGGGTCCCATGGTGAGCTCTGCTGCCTAAATCATTGGCTGCTGCCATTCTGACCCTGAAACCGCAGCTCTCCTCTGAGGTTGGGTCACGTGGCATCTGAGGGCTCCATAGCCTTGAAGTGAAGTACAGGCCAGCTAGAACTCAGATTTTCTATTTTAAACTCATCCATTGTTATTATATGCCCCGTGGTACATTTTTCTCTTTCTTCCCAATGAGTCTCCAAGATTCTCAATGTTAAACTCCATGGGTATAACCCTCCTCCCATTCTCAATTCCTTATTCTGGGAGATGTTATAAATAAAGTTGGCCAAAGTCTGCCGCCCTTAGATGTGTTTCGTGTGTATAACATGGGTTTTCTACCCTCCTGGATTCCTGGAATTAGGACACTTTATGTTAAGACAATATTTTGGAGAGGAGATGCCTTCAACCCTAGAAGTCATTTACCCTGGAGGATGAATCAGCCTTTTTTTAACAGATCTGAAAGCAGTTGCTAGATGGAGAAGGTGGAAAGAACAAGACTTCTGGGAGTTACAAGTGGAGCGAAATACCAAAGGGTGGGAAAGGGGTAGGAACAGGATTGTCACACACTGAAAATGAACTTCACCTCTGTCATGAATTTACTCTGTGCTGGGACCATGCCAAAGCTTTACTCTGAAAGGAGGTTATCATCAAAGAGACCTCCATACTGTGTCTGGGATTTATCTTTATTTATATTATCTAACAAATTTTATATAACACATTTCTGGGTCAGGAGGGGCTGTGTCTTTACATATGTAAACTAATTTAATCCTCCCAAAAATCATGTTAGATAAGTATTATCACGATCCCCATATGACAGATGGGGAAACTGAAGCACAGAAAAATTGAGTCATTTGCAGGACGTCCCACAGCTTCTGAGGGGCAGGGCTGGAATTCAAATCCAGGCAGTCTGGCCCCAAAGTCCATGCCATTAACATCTAAGCTGTAAACGCAAAGGGACATAAAACCATTGGTATGATTTTATTTTCTTTTGGGGGTAAGTAAATGAGTAAGCTCTTGTGATGAGTAAGTCATTTCACCATTCAATTTGAAAGGCATCATCAAGACTGTCAGAACCGGTAACCAGAGAGTGGCTTATGAAATTGACGGTGACATTGATTAATTCATCTTCTTGACTCATTCAACAGGTATTACCAAGCACCCTCTATGTCTTTGGCTGGACACTGAGTAGACAATCATTAGTAAGATGGTCAGGGCCTTGCCTGCTCAGAGCTTACCATCTGGATGACACTCAGGCCCCAACTGATAATTGCAATATGGATGGCAAGTGGCAGGTGGCAGGTGTGGGCCAGCCCGCTATAGGAGTCCCAGGATGCAGAGGGCAAGGTCTAGAGAAATGACACCTATGCTGAGCTCTCACAAATGAGCAGGAGTTAGCCAGATGACAAGGCAGGGGCAGAGTGAACCAAACAGCAAGAGCACATACAAAGTCCCAGTAATGATGGAGAACAGGATGGTTGGGAAAACAGAAAGTTGAGTGAGGCTGGTGTGGCGGGGGGGTGTGAGGAGAGGGTGAGGGGTGAAGGTGGACAGACAACGGGGCCGGATGCCACAGGACCATGTGCCCTCCTGCCCCCATGCAGAGTTGAGGCTTACCCTGAGGTCAAAGGGAAATAGATCCTGGGAGGCACGAGGGGTCTTTAAGGCAGGGAGGACCAGGGGCAGATGTGGGCAGGAGAAGACCTGCAGGCAGTGGTGGCTTCCAGTGACCGTAGGGAGCAAAAGACACATCTCTACCCCTAAGCTGGGCCTCTAGATCTGTGGGTTGATTACAGAAAACTGGGCCTGACCACCATAAGTTAAATATAACAGTTTACCTCAGATGTCCCGTTTCTCCTTGAAACAATACAGACTTGGCAGAGAAAACACGCCCATAAAAGAAACCAGCTCCGGTGATGAGAGAAACCAAACTAAAGAGTCTTTATGATTACAGACTAGAAAATCTGCGTATCTGGTTAACTTTCATTTCTCTGAGCCCCAACAGGCAGGACCAAAGTGAAGCCCAATGGGGTCACGGTCATGGTCTGGAAACTAGACCCCACCAGGGCCAGTCAAAGCCTCTGTCGCCCCCTCTCAGATTCAAGGAGGCCTTGGCACGCCTCCTGTGCACAAGACAGTGCTCCCCTTCATCCACTCATGTCATTCACCTTCCCTTTGCCACTCACCTTGTGCCCCTGGTCACATCCCTAGTGGCCTCCATCGAGGGCTCCTCATGCTGCTGGGATTTCCCAGGCTCTTGCTTCCCATCCACTGAGCCAGCCCACTGTCTAGCCCGCTCTCTTCTATACGGTCAGGCAGATGGTTTTGGAAACTCTTTGACACAGTCACAAAGCTGAGCAAACCTTAGATCCCTGGGAACCTGCAGGCACAGCCAGTCCATTTCCCTGGTGAGCTTATCTTGACTGCTTGCTGGAAAGCCGAGCACTGGAGACACAGAAATGAATGAGACCCATCTGTGCCCTTGAAGGGAGCCTAGCCTCATAGAGGAGCCTAGCCCCTCCCTTTAGAAGACTTCTTAAAGCCTGACACCCAAGCACTGGCACCAGTAGAACATCACCAGGGGATGGTCAGCGGGGAGGCCCTCCAGGAAGAGGATGCACGCAAGGTCCAGTCTTAGCCTGCTCCGGCATGAGGGCGAATCTCCCCACTTAGTGCAAAAGAGAGCCCTGGGGCTCTGCTCCATCTTGAGCTGAGAGAGTAACCGCAACAGTGAGGACAATAGTAACTTACTATGTTCTAGACCAGCTCCATCCAATAGAATTTTCTGTGATGCTGGAAACATCGTATAATCTGTGCTGTCCAATACACCAGCCACTAGCCCCATGTGTGCATTTGCAATGTGGCTAGTGCGACTGATGAACTGAATTTTTTAGTTTAAGTTCATTTAAATAGCCACATGCGACCTGAGGGTGCTGTATTAGACAGCACAGTACAAGGTATTGTGCTAAGTACTTGATGGGTAATAAATTAATACTAACAAAGAACAATGAGCTAAGCATGATTATCATGTTCATTCTAGGAATGTAGAGACTGAGGTCCAGAGAGGTTAGATAGTTTATCCAAGTCACTTAGTAAGTGTAGAGACAAGATACAAATCCCCAAGACTGGGCAGCCCGGGTGGCTCAGCAGTTTAGCACCACCTTCAGCCCAGGGTATGATCCTGGAGTCCCGGGATCGAGTCCCACGTCGGGCTCCCTGCATGGAGCCTGCTGTTCCCTCTCTGCCTGTGTCTCTGCCTCTCTCTTTCTCTATCATGAATAAATAAATAAAATCTTTAAAAAAAATTATTTAAAAAGAAATCCTCAAGACTAAGCCTGAAAAGAAGAAACAGTTCCCTCATTGTTCATTCATTCATTCATTCATTCACTCATTCTAGAGGCACAGAGTTGTGCCCCCATGCTATGCGGTGGGGATATAGACATAAATAGGATGGGGCCCTTGGCCAGAGGGAGAAGACCATCTAAAGAGGGAGACAATCCCTTCTTGGCCTCTTGTCTAAGATCAAGTGTAAAGAGGGAGACAAACAGACTAAAGGAAACCTTCACATCAAGAGACAACTGCCATGTTCAAGGTCAGCTCACAGTGCTGGGGAGCCCTCAGCTGGGACCGTTAACCCAGCATAGGGACGTTGGGACTCTTGAAGACAAGCAGGATTTCTATATTCACAAACAGAAGCCCCAGCCAGGTGCCCTCATTCCTTTCCAGGCCCCTCCTCCCCAGGATGAGGACCTCCTGAAAGGACAGAGTTGGACAGACCCAGGGAGACGGGGATAAGGTCACCCCTGCCTTATGGGACACCCAGCAACTGAAAACCTCCTGTGACATGCCCTCAGTTGTCCAAATTGCCCACTGGTAAACCATTCAGACTGTGGCTTCCAGAGCTTTCCAAGATTTGCATCTTCCGGAGCCTAACCTAGCACTCGATAATAGGTCTGCGATGAAGGTGTGTTTAGCGTCAAGTGCCAGCTCCACCACACAGTGGCCTGGTGACCCGAAGCAAGCTTTTTGTAGCTTTCTGAGCCTCAGCTTCCTTATCTGAAAAACATGGAGAACAATATTTATTTTCCAGGTTTGTTATGAGGATTAAATGCGTATGAAGCCCCTGATATTCTGAAGGCCATTAGTAGATAGCTACTACTATTATGAAGATTATTGTTGATTAAAGATAAACGTAGACCGTGTCCCCTTGCTCCCCAACACTTTCCCCAGAGTACTGAGGCAAAGGAGAAAATCCAGAGTGTGGAAAGTGGCTGAGTGTGCTGAGACCTGGGGTCCTTTCTGAACCCGATCACTGATTTGTGTAAAATTGGATGGCTCCTAACCCCACCCTGGGTCTCAGTTTCCTCATCTGTAAAATGATACTACTAGCCCAGACCTGGCGATCTTCCCAGCAAATGCCTAAAGGAATGGGGCGAAGATAAAATAAAAATGAGCCAAGGGAGCCTAATGTCAAAGTGTCTACCATTCAGTTGCTGCTGACAGTGCCATATGGGAACATGGACTTACTTTTACCAGGTATTCTGATTTTCAACAGAAGCTAGACATCTGGAATTTTTGTTTAAAAAAAAAAAACCAACAACTTAAATTATTTTTAAATTATATATTTTTTTAAAAAGATAACTATTTCAAACTTTCAAACACCATAAAGTTAAACACAGCGGGTCTTCAAGCCAGGGCTAATCCAGTGGCTGGCATTTTAGCCTCCGCAGACCAGATAACTTCTGGGCACCTCTCGGTCCCGATGGGCAGCAACTCTGCCCCCAGGCCCCACCTCAACTCCATTGCCCCCTTTGCCTGTTTCTGAGAAAACACATCTTTCAGGTCCCCTTTTCAGTTCCTTCCCCCACGTGCGTCACAAACCTATAAGGCCTCAGAGGATGCCCCATTGGGGCCCAAGACTCCTAGAACCATACAGAAATGCGTCCTATCAAGTTCTCCTTGCATTTCCAGAAGCCTCTGTACCTCTCAGTTCCTGGTTCCACTTTGTGACGACTGATTTCCTACACTGACCTCATTCTCCACTTCACCAAATGGAAAGGGTTGATGAAATCATCATTTCAGCCCCAATGTGGCAGAGCAGGTGTGAAAACCAAGGCTGAGCTGACAGCCAGAGCATCTTAGGAGCCATCAACATGCCAGGCACTGTTGAAAGCCTGCAGTAGGTGAGCACCTACTTAATCTTTGTGGCGAACCCATAAGGTATGTGCTATTATCATCATTTTGTAGGTGAGGACAGAGGTTCCAAGAGGATGAATGTCATTCATCCTGCTCAGGGTTGACCAGCTGGGAAGTGGCACTGCTGAGACCCAGGGGGTCTGGTTCCAGACCCCTCATGCTGAAATGCATGGTCAGCCTCCTCCTAACCCTTCACAGGCTCCCCAGCACAATCAGGAGGAAGTCCAGCCCTGCTTGCCAGCATGATGTCTCCCCCTCTTCATGGGATCATGTGTGCCTCTGCACCCTTGTATATTCTGACCTCTCTAAGATGCTCTTCCCTCCACTCCTGATTGGCGAGTACTGCAACTGACCCTTCAAGGTATCCTCTCTGTGAAGTCATCCTGGGCTTCCTACATCTGAGTAGCATGTATGTCTCATCATTGCAAGCCTCCCATTGAACAAGCACTGCACTGTGTGTTTGTCTCCCCCGTGGGACTAGAAACTCCCTGAGGGCAGAGCTAGGGCTTACTCATTTAATCCTGACAACACAGCAGGCTTAATACACGCTGTCCAAGGTGGCCTACTCTGAATCCCTCCCCTTGTCCTGCCTGCACTTCTTGCATATTGGGGTTAGCCTAACCCCAGAGGAGCCCAGATACCATGGCTGGGAGACATGGTCATTGCATCCACCAATGGTGTCACCCTGTATCAGTTTACCAGGACTGTCACAACAAAGGATCACAGACTGGGTGGCATAAGCAACAGAAATTTCTTTTCTCACACTTCTAGAGGTTAGAAGTCCAAGATCAAGGTGTTAGCAGGAGGGTTTCCTCTAAGGCCTCCCTCCTTGGCTTTAGATGGCCATCTTCTCCTGGTGTCTCCATGGTTTTCCTTCTGTATGTGTCTGTGTCCTAGACTACTCTTCATATAAGGACATTAGTCAAGTTGGATTGGGACCCATCCTGATGACTTCATTTTACTTGAATGACCTCTTTAAAGGCCCTATCTCCAAAAACAGTCACATTCTGAAGTTAAGACTTCAACATCTGGATTGGGGGGTGGGGTGGGGGACACAATTCAGGCCATAACAGACCTCAATTTCCCTCCTTCCCACTTCCCAAGGTAACCTACATGCAGCTAGAATCATTTAAGATCAGTCTGGGAGAGCCCTTCATGGGCTTCCAGCCCAAACTTTGCATTTCACAAATGGGAACACTGAACCTTATAGAGGGAAAATAGCTTGCCACTAAAATCATCCAGCAAATTACGTCAAAGCTTCCGACTACTGGTCCACGAGTCTTCCTGTGACCCCCACACCCATTTATAAACACCATTTTTGCTATTTTGAAAACCCCTCTCACCTGCAGAGCAGAAGGTAGGCTGATGGGAGACAGGAGCAGATTTCCTGCCAGTCACTCTCCTCCCTGGTCCTGCTCAGTGAAGGCCAGTTTCTAAAGTTGATCCCAGTCACCTGTGAGGGGTGCACAAGATGCCCTGGTCACTCAGCTTGACCTCAGAGCTCCCAGAAGGGGTATTTGATTGAAATATCAAGCATTTGATTTTTCTCCTTCCAGTTCAGAGAGTTTCCACTTAAAGGGCCCTCTTGCCACCCCACATGCCTCCCAGGACCTGAGAGCCACCGCCATTGCCCTGGGGGCCTGTGGAGCAGCACCTGCACCCCTTGTCCTATATCCACTTTAAGCCTACAGAGGCCAGGCCAGGGCAGCTCACATCTATCTAGTCCAGGCCTCTTCAGAGCAACCCTCAGTGCTTCTACACTGGGACAACCCAAAGCCCTCCACAGTTTCACATGCCTGCAAAAGAAAGTTGGTCCTCCCCCAACTGCTTGGGTTCAAATACTTTCTCTAGCCTCTTCTAGCTGTGCAATTGCACAAAAGTTAAATAGCCTCTCTGGGGGTTGGTGGTGGTGTGATAGCAAGACTTTCCTTATAGAATTTTGTATATTAAATTCACTCATATGTCTACAGCACACAGAGTAGTGCCTGCATATATTAAGTCCTACGTAAGTATTTGTTAAATTCATATATACGTGCTCTCCACTCTACCCAACACACCCAACACAACAACGACAAGCGTTCTCAAGAACCTGCGATGTGTAAAGCACAGTTCCTGGCAGGAAAGGCTTACGGTTACAGGTGAACTTGATAAAAGCCTTGAAGGTTAGGGAGAAATTCCTGGGGCATAGGGGAAGCTGTAGAAATCCAAGTAAAGGGAGAATCATGAGTAGGGTCAGGGTGGCTGAAGAGCCCATGGCATTGGGCAGACACTGAGTGTGGCTAAGGCTCTGAGCAGAAGGGGAGGTTGTAGAACCAGAGGCTGAAAGGACAAGAGACCAAATCTTGGCGAAGTGGGATGCTGGGGAAACAGGCCTCAGGGCAGAGCACTTAGTCCAGGAATGCACCACGCATGTGCCCGTCGCTGGGCCTTGCTTATTCTGGTCCTGTCCCAGCGGCTCATGCTGCCACGTTTTGACTCTGTTCCAGCTCAGCACTAGGCCTGGGATACAAAACTAGATAGGATGTAGTCTCTGCTCTAGAAGCAAGCACAAAGTTGAGAGGGAGAGGGGGCAACTAATGAGCCGCTTAGAGAGTGGTGTAAAGAAAGAATGAGACCCTGGACATGGAGCAGCTCCAGCTGAACATGGGAGGTCAGGGAGGGCTTTCCAGAAGATGGGACATGTGAGCACAGTGATGAAGGGCACCTGAGCCTTCGCAATAGGGTAAGGTGAGGAATGTTCCAGTCTGTGAGTAGGCACCAGAGCGTAAAATGTAGCCTGGCATGGCTGGAGCAAAGGGCATATAGAGGCCAAGAGGCAAGGGATAGGGCTTTGGGGGAGGAAGTAGCCAGAGCTGGTGGGGCCTTGTGGGGCAGGACAAGGAATTGTACTATTATTCAGGAGCTAATGGGCTCCAGAGATGGACTTTGGGAGGGGAAGGGCACAAACAGAGCTACATTTTAGAGCAAACCCTGTTGGTTCCCCCACATCAGAGCCTGAGACACGAAAGTGACTGGCAGTGGTTTGTGAGGTGACCCCAGGAAGCAGCAGTGACAGAATGAGGAGAGTGAGTTGGGGATGGGGGTAAGACTAGAAGGGGTGGGGTTACTGAACTGGTTGCTCCTGTGAACAGCAGAACTCAGTCCCATTGGGGACCCTCTGAGAAACCATTAATGACCTTGACATTGTCTCCAACTTTCAGTTCCCACCATTTATTTTTTAAAAGATTTTATATATTTATTCATGAGAGACACAGAGAGAAAGGCAGAGACTTGGACAGAGGTAGAAGCAGACTCAATCCCAGGACCCCAGGATCATACCCTGAGCTAAAAGTAGACACTCAACCCCTGAGCCAGCTAGGCATCCCCATTCCCTGCCATTTAAAGACTGCCTCAGGAGACAATCATTCTCTCTCCACCCATTGCTCTTCCAAGCACAGACACTGACTGGCTTTCCACTGGCTGTGGTTTTGAACAAGCCCGGCATGTGTGAAATAGGACAGTTACAGTGTGCATGAAACCCTCCTCACTGCTGTGCTGAGGTCAGGTGGTCTAAGGAAGGTGTGGGGGGCACAGAAACATCTGCAACTATCCCCTTGGGTATAAGATGCATCCGTGATAATTACCTTCTGTTGCAATTAACAGAAAAAATTAATAGTAGCTGAATCAAGTTAGATTTTTAATTCATCCTTGCATTAAAGACGTCCAGAAATAGTGGCTTATGGCTGGTATACTTCCTGAAGGGCATTCTCCAAAGGCCATTCTCCAAATGGCCCAAGGTAGCTGCTAGAGCACCAACCATCAGAACCAAGTTCCAGGAAGCAGAATAGAGCCAGGAGAAAGAGGAATGCATGCTCTGCATTTTAAGGAAACTGTCTAGCACGTCCACATGACACTTCACTTGTATCTTCTTGGCCAGAGCTTAGGCACAGAGTCATCCCTAGCTGCACGAGAGGCTGGCAAATGTTGTCTTTTAGCTCATTGGCCATGTATCTAACTAAAAGTAGGCACCCTATAGCTAAGAAGGGAGAGAGAATGGACCTTGAGATGTGGCTATCAGCCCCTGTCACAAGGATATAAGGCAGAGCAAGGAGGTTAATTCAGAAGCAGTTGTCATAATCCAGGGAGAGATGAGAAGGATCAAAGCAAGGGGAATGGCAGGGGTGGATGAAAAGCAACTGTGCATGCCAAACGCCTGGGTATGGATTTGGCAGAACTTGGAGAAGGGTGTAGAGAGGAAAGGAAGGGCAGGAGTCAGAAATGAATCCCAGGCCCTGACTTGGATGGTGAGGTGAGTGGAGATGCCATCCATGCAGGAAGAAAATATGAGAAGGTAAACAGTTTAGGAGAAGGTGATGAGGTCCTCTGCAGTCATGCTGAATCTGTGATGCCAGAAGGATACCTAGAGATGTCCAGGAGGTAGACATTGGGTGACCAGGTGGTCAGGCGACAGCAATTTAGGGGCATCAGCCAGTGGAGCAGAGGAACCCTCAGAGTGAGGACACAGAGAAAGGGGGAAGGGGCTCATGCAGCATAGCAGGCTGACATCAGAGGATAAAGAGCATGGGAAGCTGGCCCGTGTGAACTGCATCAGAGGGCAGGAGGAGAGTCAGGGGTATTTATGCCCCTGGTTGGCTGTGCCCCTCCTGTAGCTACACTCTCTGGGTTCTGATAACCACTTGGCCTTCCCATTGGGCCTAGAGTGGGTAATGGCTCCCTAATATTATTCATGCTAGAGTGCTGCACCATTTCCTGGTACATTCTCTTAATTCTTCCATACTTTTTAAAGAGTGCCTTCATTATACTCTCCTTAATTAGATAGGTGATAGATAGATAGATAGATAGATAGATAGATAGATGATGGATACATGGATAGATTGGATGGGAGATGGATGGATTGGATGGAGGGGCGATAGATAGATGATAGATAGATAGATAGATAGATAGATAGATAGATAGATAGATAATAAGTGGATGGGTAGATGAATGGATGAGTTAGATGGATGGGTGAGTGGGTGGAGGGACGAGTGGGGGAGTAGATGGATGGATGGCTGGATGGGTGGATGGATGGATGGATGGATGGATGGATGGATGGATGGATGATGGATAGATAGTTTGGATGGATGGCAGATAGGTTGCAAAGGAAGATGAGATCACAAGAGAAACTGGGAAGCGACAGCAAGGGAGGTAGGAGGAGAACCACAAGCCAAAGGAGAAGTGAGCTCAGTGTCTAATGTGACCCCCACATTAGTTAGGAGAAGGGCTATAAGACATCCACTGGATTTGCCACAAGAAGGTCACTGATGACCTCGGTGAGAGCAGTTCCATGTTATGGGAGAAGCCAGATTGCAATGGGTAGAGCTGGAGAAATGAGTGGGAGATGAGGAAGTAAGGCCACTGCTTTCTCTCATCTCCCCCTAAAAAGCCTGGCTCAAATGTTACCTCCTCCACAAACTTTCTCTGAATCTCTGTTCTTCTTCTCTGCTCCCTGAGCATCCAGCTGGCCATCTGCCACAAATCCATGGCTGAGCTCTCAGGGTCAGGGTCTGTGATACTGGACATACAATACCATGGAAAGAGCACTGGACTTAGAGTCTAGAAACATGGGCTGAAAGCCTAAAAAACCACCCAGCCTACCTACTCCAAGCTCCTGAGAAAGAAACACATCTTGTCTAACTTGGTCAGAAACAGGTTCTGGGACCCTGGCCAGTACTCACTGCCCCATACATGGAAGGGTGCCCCCTCCAACTGCCATCAGTTGTGTGGCCTCCTACCAGGTCAGCATCCAGTAAAAAGATCACAGCCCGCCCTGCCATTGCCCTCATCTGCTTCCTTAGCCATGAGAAAATGTAGAAGCCTCCAATGGTCATGGCCATCCCTCTTTTCCACCATCTCTAGGACTTGTCAAGGCCAAAGGCAATCTCTATTACAAAATAATAGCCGAGTTGTTCCTGGGGCTCACTGAGGAGCCCAGCTGCTCCCACTCAACCAGGCTGGGCTGTCACTGCCCGAACCTGTCACTTCCGGTTGAGTCAGCTCAGCCCTACCTGACCACTGAGACTAAGGCACCAGCCAGGGTTCCAACACTAGCAGGAAGAATGATCTAGAGCCAGCCACGAAGTTGACCTTTATAGGCTACTTCCTGTGTAGACGGAGCTGTTCTAGCATGGTACTTTCATCACCTCGGCCCTACAACAGCTCTATGAGACATGCCCTATTCTTATCTCACTTTATGAATGAGGGACCCAGAAAAGATCAACTCCTGGAATAATTTGACATCTTCAGACCCAAATATCGCTTCTTGGCAAAATTATGAAAGAATGAGCATGGAAGGAGAAGGCAACAAATACTTTTCCTGGGCACCTTGTATATGCCAGGAGCGTTGTCCCGTTTGATCCTTACAACAACTCCCAGCAGGGCTGTATTTTATGGATTTGCAGATTGAGCGTTGGAGAG